AATCATTGTGGGTAGCCTACACACACTGTGAGCTCTGCCTGGGCAATTATTCACTCTCGGGCTAGATTTTCTATCCTGTCTCTGTTTCTAGGGACACTCATCAGCTGCTTGTATCTGAGTATTTCCTCCCCACTCCTTTCATGTACAAGTAACTGCAAGCAGATAGCAGGCCAGAAAAACAAAAAAGCTAGATAAGCATAGGATTGATGACAGTCAGAGAAGATAACAGGAAAACTCATGATTCTTATCCAGGCCCTGGCTTATCATAGGCACTCAATAAATATTTGTTGAATTGAGTAAAAAAGAGTTGTTAGGAAATTTAATTAGAAGATTTTTAAGGTGCCTGGCCAGCGTGTCTCAGTGGTTGAGCGACCTATGAACCAGGAGGTCACTATTGGATTCCCAGTCAGGGCACATGCCTGGTTTGTGGGTTCGATCCCCAGTAGAAAGCATGCAAAAGGCAGCCAATTGATGCTTCTTTCTCATCATCGATGTTTCTATCTCTCTCTCCCTCTCCCTTATTCTCTGAAATTAATAAAAATATATTTTTAAGAAAAAAAATTTTTTTAAAAAAGAAGACTTTTAAGGCTTTCTACCCTGATATTCTGTAATTCCTCAGCACAAAATGAGAGAAAATTTGGAGAAGACCCAGAAGGTATATGCTCAAACTTATTAGGAATAAGAAAGGGAAGTTGGAAAGAACTCATCTCCGGCTATGATGGATCCCAAAAGAGTAACTAGGACTGTTCCAAACTGTCACAGCCAGGATGATCTGGGATGGACCCAGGTGATGTCCCAAAATTCCCACCTGGAGCCCAAGGAGACTAGAAAGCAGTTCTCTTAGTATCTAAGATGCAGACAAGATCTGAAGTGAAATTCTAGGCCTTACTTATTTAGGGAGCCTGAGAAAGGGAGTGTATGTTGGCGGGGTAGTAAAATTCTCTTTTGAGGTCCTAGATTTTATGGTTTTTTTGTTGTTGTTTCTCAGTATTATAGAAACACACAGTTCAGGGCAGGAAAGCTTCCTGGGAACCCAGCCTCCAGCCCCATGGAGGAACTCCTTCTGCAGCATCCCTCACAGAAGGTCGTCCAGTCTCTGGTGGCAGGAAGCTCACTTTCTCCAGAGGCAGCGGCAAGGTTGCTGGACAGCTCCCACATGGTCAGGTTCTTCCTTCCCTTCAGTCCTGATCTCTAACTTCTACCCATTCAGGCTGCAGACACTGTGCCTACTCCCTGATCCCAGTGGCAGCTCTCCTGCTACCTGAAATCGGGAATCACTTTTCTTCCATTTTTGCACTCCTTCCAGAAAACGTCCTTCAATCCTTCAACTGCAGAGACGCAGTTTGCAATCTCTCAATGTGCTGTTCCCTTGACAATACTCTCTAACTGATCACAGTTCATAAAATAGGGCTGGCAGAGTCCAGTGCTGCAGAGTTGGATGCAGCGGTCCTGGCATGGCCTGGCTTTCACAGAGCACAGTGCGACTGTTTCTTCCCATTCATTTCTAAATTATCACCACCATCTGTTTAATCATCTATTCTAGAATGGTGCCCAAAATTGACCATCAAGATAAATGGTTCCAAACTGAACTACCAAACAAAATAGAGACAGACTCACAGATAGAGAGCAGGCAGATAGCTCTTGTGGGGATAGGGGTATTGGGGGATAGAGGGATTGAGCAAAACGAAAAAAATAGATAACTCATAGACATGGACAACAGTGTTGTGATTGCAGGGGGGTGGGGTGGGTGGTGGTGGAAGAGGGCATAGAGGGGATAAATGGTTATGGATAAAATAATAATCCTATATAATAAAAGGGCAATATACAAATAGACAGAACGGCAAAACGACCAGAACGCCTGTGGTCCCTTGCCCCGCTGGGCCCCACCCACCAGCGGGCACTGGGGCCCCTATTGGGGTGGGGCTGCCAGCAAACTGCCCATGGACTCTCACCCCAGCTGGCCCACCCCCGATGGCTGCCATCGGGCAGGCTGGCTGAATCCCACCAGTGCATGAATTTGTGCACCAGGCCTCCAGTAGTAGTAGTAGTAGTAGTAGCAGTAGTAATAGTAATAAAGATAAATGGTCCCTTAGATTCCAGGATCCTCTATCCCTACTTCCTAGTCCTTATTTGCTTGTCTTCTGCTGGCCTGTTCATCTCTGATGCTACCAACTCATATATTACACTGCCCTTTATGGTGACTGGTCTGTACTGGGTAGGGAAATTCCCAGGTTTTCCCTAACTTTCTCAAATATCTCTTCCTTCTCACCATGAATCCTCAAGCTGCCTGGCATATAAAGACTCTAAATAAAGAATGAATAAATGCATGTCAAACGTTGCCTACAAATGATCACACCAGTCTGTAGGGCACCCTCCACTATCACAGGAGCCTGTTCTTTCAGTCTCCTGGTCCGTGGCCCAGAATAGAGCATTTCTTCCATCAGCATCATCCACCTAATCTAGCTTTTCATTTTCACAGCTCCCCTTCTTTCCCAAAGCCATGGCTGAGGAGGAGGGTGGCAAACACTACCTGACATGCTCCGTTCTTCAGTTTCCCTCCCCAGCCTCACTGTCTCCGGAACAGTTCTGTTCTAGGATTTGTTTCCAACAGTCCTCATGTGTGAATTGGAGCCAGCAGAGTGAGGAAGTGGCAGGGTGGGCATGACCAGTTGGTAAACTCTGCAGCCTGCCAGGTACTCACACTCCAGGTGAGCACAAGCCCCCAGGAGAGAGGCAGCAAGCATCCCAGAACAGTTCTTCCCACCGAAAGCGGCAACAGGACTCCTGCATCCCACCTGCCAGAACCTAGGAGAACTTTCTCTGTTCTCAGGAGCCCAGGGTGCCGTGCTTGCGACCACGCTCTGGGAAGCAAAGAGCCTGCATCTAGCATATTCCTTCTGTGGTAATGTGCTGTTTCTCCTTTTTCATGACCTTCCTCTCAGCCCCTCTTGGGTTTCATTCCCCTTCACCCAGCGGAAGTCTTTGCCTTTTTAATTGCTTCCAATCTATTATATCCCATCTCTACTTAACAAGTCAGACTGAATAAAAGTGTTCTTCCAAGTCCCTCACTTTCTATTCTACAGAAAAGATGAGCATACATTAGCTGCAGAGATGTGATAAACATACCAAAAAGGAAAAAAATGAAACCTTCATGTCCCCAGGGATCCCAATTTCTTCTGGCTCTAAAAGAACTGAGAGTCCATTATGGGTCCCCATGAAAACTTTTCCTGTAAATTGATTTAGAAAATACCTGGTTTTATGCCTGTTCCTGTACCAGGGAAAGGTGCTTTTAAGACTGCTTAGCCCCTAGATGGCTAAATTACCTAGATCAATCACGGGTTATTTAGCCTATCTCCCTACCCAAGACAGATGGGAATACTTCTGAATAAAGACCTGTACAAAAGAAGTCTCATATTCTGTTCTTCAGCTCAAAGTCTTACATACAAAGTTTAGAAGTTTTTCTTTGACTATTATCCAAATTCTTTTTGTTGGAACATAAGGCCTTTCGTCATTTTTCTAGTCTCCAGTGACTCTTTTTTCCTATCACAAAGGAAAAAAGTAGACACTATTCGATGTCTATTTGTTCACTGCCTTCTTCTTGGAGCTCTTCAGGGTTCCTCATTCTATTCAACATCCTTCCAAGCATTTGATGACTGCTCTTAAAATCCCCTTTACCACCTGCCCATCACCATCCACCAGTCCCTTTACATCTGCCTCCCCTGTGGCTCTTTCAAATGTAGTGCTTGCCTCGCCTGACACCTGCTTCAAGAACTTAATCAGCATGTTCAAGAAGTAGCCAGAGCTGTCCAGCAAAGGCAGTGCTAAGTATATAGCTCCTCTCTGTAACTGACTAATTCTCCTATAAAATGCAGACACAAGATGAAGATTCTGAAAGCCATGGGCACTAATTCTTATTTGCCACACAAACACTGGCCAGGCTCCAGCCCCACTAGGAGACAGAGAACAGAGTTCTCATCTCTGTGAGGGTGCAGAGAGCCCTGGGGCACCAGTCAGGAGGACCTAGTCCTGGGCCCAGCTCTGCCACTGACACCCATACGCAACTTTCTCCCATCTGAACCCTGCTTCCTAAGCAGACCACAGCACACATTCACCTGCATTACTCCCGGGGCTCTTCTGGCTCTCACATTCTATGGTTCTCTCATTAGGCAGTGACTTCTCCTCTCCCTCCTTAAAAGACATGGACCACTACACATATATACATATACCATGCTCTTGGCATGTGTCCCTCCACCAACCTCTACGGCCAGCACCACCTAGAAACACTCAGAAACCAGGGTTTCTCAATCTGTTTATTTTATTATCATTGTCCTTGCCCCCCAATAAAACTGTCTATACTTTTTTCCTTAATCATCCACCCAATGAAATATTAATAATTCAAATATACAATATATCTGTTTACATGCTGTATGTAGAGCTGTGCTTAATGCATAAAGGAGCAAGCTTTTTGCTGCCCCCAGCACCAATCCCCCTTGGTGGCGCTATTACCTCCCTTGAAAACGTATGACTCCTAGATTGAGCTGAAGGCTGCCTCTTGAGTGATACAAGTGGAGTTATTTGACCCAAACTCCAAAAGCCAAAAACATATTCACAAGCCACAGGTTTTAAAAACAATCCAATACACAAGCCAGAGTGTAATCAGTCAGAGTTCCCATTTCCCCAAAGTAAACAGCAGAGCCCCCAGCCCCCCTCCCCAGGCCACGCTCCCCTGTTCCAGTCCTGGTCCTCTGAGCCGGGACCTTCGCCTCTGCCTGCAGATCTCTCTTCCAGCTCCCACTCCACTCACAGGAATCCCAGAAGTAACAATGGGACTGACGGGAAGGAGACGGACAATGGCTGATGATGTTCCAAGAATAATTAGAATCCACTACGAGGACAGAAACACCCCTGGCCTCTGCCAGGGGTGGAGGCTCATTCCAACTCCCCTGCATCAGCCCAGATGCCCTCCACCGTCCCCTGCAGGGCATGCCCCTTCACCTTACCTTGGCACGCTGGCCAAATAGGTCACGAGTTTCCGAAGGTCTTCCTGTCTTATTCTGTCATGATTGCTGCGGGCAGGGAAGGTCAGGATGGGTCCGCCTCGTTTATCCCGGCCCCCTGCAGGGAAGGAGAGGGGTGAGTATGAGAAAACCAGCCAGAGAGCGTGCTGCAGAGGGAAGAGTTCCAGCTGCATGCTGGATGAAACGGGCAGGAGCACGGTGCCCACAGAACCCTGGTCGCCTCGGACAGGGGCGTGGGATTTGGCTGCGGTAACACGTGTGACCTTGGGCGAGTCTTTTGACTCCTCTGATGCCTCACCTGCAAAATGCAGATGAAAATAAAAATGACCACGTTACAGGGCTGCTGTAAGGACGGATGAGGGCATGTGGGAAAGCACTTCGAGAAATAAAGCTCTCTACAAATGCGAAATAATAGTGAAGGCGGTGTAACTCTTCTTATTGAGAAAGCAAACCCTTGCCAGTCTTCGGAAATTTAAGCTCCAATGTACTTCTCCTCACAGGGCTCTGTGAGGTGGGAGTGCCAGGATTAAGTGACTGCCGTGGCGAGAGCCCCTGAAGCATCCAGCGGGCATCACTGCTGGGAGGATGTAGATTCATAGCAAAGACATTGTTTTCTACACAGTCCAGGATCCGCCCCGCCTGCCTGCCTGAGGTGCCACCTGTCCCTCCTGCGGGAGAAGCACATGAATCTTTAGAGAAACAAGGATCCTCAAGGTCTTAATTGCTACATATGCACTGCACACACTACGATTACAAATGCTTTCTAAATATCACGTTTTTTAGAAAGCTGGAAGGAGTACACTGAAATGATGAGCATTGCTGTTATTAGAAGGCTGGGATTTGACATGATTGCCTTTTCTTTCCTCTCTTTTCCAAGCTTCCTACTCACTATTTCCTCTATGATTTTAAAGTTTATTTAAAAATTTTAAATTCATTAAGGGGTGGTATGATTAGGAAGCAGGGCCAAGTTTCTCAGGAGAGCTAGATGAGGACAAAGCTAAGGTGCAGCAACCATGACTTCACAGGTACCGACTATCACACAAAGAAAACCTCTGCACCCTGATCACAGACCCCCACCCACATGCTTGTCAGGCAGCCTCTCACACCCTCCAGAGCTGGGCCCACAGGGAACCTAATGTAAGAAGGAGGGGAGGTGGGCATGCCCATGCCCTTCCCCCTGATCCCAGGGAAAGAAGCTGAAAGCTTGACCCTTGGAAAAAGGATCTCTTGCAAGCAAAGGTAGAGCCCAAGTGTGAGTGCATGAATGTTTCCCTGTGACTGTGGGGTCCCGAAGTCACACAGGCAGAGGGGAGGCTCGACAAACAAACCCCAACCCATTCCAGAACAGAGGAGATAAGGAGGCTGCAAGGAGAAAAGGATCACATAAGATCAGGGCCACTGAGAAACGTGCTCTGATGAAACACTGTCTCAGCACGGCCCCCTCCCCCTGCCCCACACCAGGGCAGACCTGTGTAGAGATACCAGAGCTGAATCCAGGCCCCCAGCTCCAGACCTGCCACATCGCACACCCTGGTTCTTTGTACAAATAACCACCCTCAGCTCATCTGCCTTGGAAGAGTCCCCAGCTCCCGGCTGCCTTCCAGGTAAAGAAAAGGAAGCAGAAGGACTGAATGGAAGGTTTCCTGAGAGCCAGGAGGTCCCCACACGCTCCACCTTCCCCTCCAGCTTCGACCTCACTCAACGGGCTTTCACTCAGGTGGTGCTTTTAACGGCAACTGTTGCCTTCCTTCCTGACTGCCATGGACAGCTTAAGAGAAGAGCCATGGGAACAAGGGAGCCAAGGCTGGTCTGGTTGGCAAAGGCTAACTAAGCAGTTTGGAGGGCTGTTGGCAGTGTCCTCCCCGAGCCAGAGCCAGTTCTGTCCTTAGAGACAGAAGTTTCACAAAATCATGGCTGGGAAAGGGTCCAGATGGCAGGGGAGGGGAGTGAGGGGAGAAAGCCTGAGGCAGTGCAATCCCCTTCCTTCAGGAAGCGTAGATAAGGAGTCAGGAGGGGGCAGCAGGATCAAGCCAGATATTTTTCAGAAAGAAGAGGACCTTCCAAGATTATAGGAAGAAGAGGAGGAATAAGCCCAGAGGAAGAGAATCACTATGCTGGCAAGAGTGGGGTAAGGGATGGAGCAAGGTCTCACTCAGAGCAGGTACCAGGGGGGCTGGGGTTCCTGCAGCAGGTGAATAGAATGCAAAGAGGGAGGAGGAAACAGGAAAGTATAGGGAGGGAGGGGTTTAGCCTGCATGGGGAACACAGTTCTTTAAGTGAAATGGGAGATAAGATCACCTGCCAAGGGTCAGGGAGGCTTGAGGTGTGGGGAGAGAGGTGGAATGGGCCACTGTTGGCAAGTGTCCCAGAGAAGGAAGACTGGGTGTGATATAGGCTTAAGGGAAGGTGGCAGGGTATAGAGGCGTAGTGAGGGCTCTGCTGAAAGGTCTGGCCATGGTGCCCATGCCAGGCTCTAACATGAGCCAAGGCAGAGTGGAGCCAATGCCTGGAAGTGAGTGGAGCAGGGACCACTGAGGGTAGAAAACATCCTGCTGGATTATGAGCTCCCAGGGAAGCGGGAACGGCATGCTTTGTTCATCTGCTATCCATATTCTCCCAACTGACAGGGGATTGTCAGAAAGGGTCAAAGGTAAGAGCTGAAGGCCACAGGCAGATACGTGAAGGGTCAAGGTCTTGGATGTGCATGGCCATGGTAGGGAGGTGGAGGGCTTTGCTGCCAAGGAAGCTAAGCAACCACAAAGCTATAGAATTTGATCGATAACTGACATGGGTGCTAAAGTTACCGACAGGGAAGGCAGAGATGAAAAATGAGAACCCCTTCTGAAGTCACTGTGCATTAGGGCAGTGGGCCCTAGAGGGTGGCAGGCAAAAGTGGCCACGTTTCAAAAAGGTGATGGAGATGGTGGCAGGAACTTCCAAAGCACCATTCCCTTGCCTATCAAGTACCTGCTGTCTATCTACTTGTGCAAGGCTTTGACGATAGAAGCTGCAGGATAGGAATGTAGAGAATAAAGAGGGAAGGGTTTCTCTGATGTTCTAGAGACGGCACTGACCCCCCTCCACTGAGGCCGGGCCAGTCAGGACTGCAGAGGAGGCGGGGCAGGAGCAGGGAGAGTTAAGGCTTCCCTGACCCAGGTGGAGGGGAATGGTGCTTATGTTCTCAGAGGCGGGGGGGTGGGGGGGGGGGGTGGCAGGATCAGACTCCACTCAGAGCAAGCAGATCAGGGTAGTTTTGGGGGGAGACAAGAAAAGCACATCTAAAGAATCATACTAAAGTTTGGTCCAATAACTTTAATTCCGCAAGATGCTCATGGACATCGTAATAATTGTAAGGGGAGGAGGTTGTTCTGCAGTGTGGGAAATGTCCTCATGTGCTCCATGGACGTGTGCTTTAATAAGTACGGCAGGTTTCTAAGAGGGGGGCTGCATTATGCAGTATTTCCCAAACTTATCCGAGTGTGGAACCCCGTTTTCTCTTTTGAGGATCACTGTTGTTCCATGGAACACATTTTGAGAGACATAGCCCTAGAGCACAAAAGACTGAGCCACAGCAGCACGGGTTCCCTGGGAACCATGGCAGAGAGGGACATCAGGAGGTGGCCAAGAGGAGAGTGTGAGCGCACAGGAAGATAACAGGGGTGTAACGGACCCTGCACAAGGAGGCTGGATAAAAGGGATAGTAGGTACGGTGAGTGGGAGGCAGAACACACAAAGGAAGCCAGAGAGAGGGCCAACGGGGAGGCTGTGAATGACGGAGCGGGATGGGGCCTGGCTGGGACAAAAAGGCTCCATGAGGCAGTCCCAGAGCCCGTCACACACGTGCACACGCCCACGTGCAGAAGCTGCTGGGCTGCACTGGATTATTCTAAATGTGTGTTCCCATGGCAGCACTGCGTTCCTATACCCGGGCCCTGCCAGGGGCACAGCATGGGAAGGCGGGCACAATCAACAGTTTTGTTTCTCTGCTCACCACCTGCCTGCAGTCCTTTCTTCTCAGAAAGAAATACAACTGTTGCCCTGCGTTATCTAATTCTGGGTTTCTTTCATTTGTCTTATTTTGTGTTTTGTCTTCTAAAAGCTCAGGATACAAGGAGCTTTCTTATTTGTTTTTGTTTTTTAGATGCAGGCAGTCATCTCCCTGGGGCTCCCAGCATCCTTCCCAGGCACAGAAGGACAATGGTCCCTCAGCCCAGGGGCATAAGACTTACCCCAGGTGCTTTACCGACATGGGCACATGGGCGTGAGCTGTACAGAGCCTTGGTCCTGCTCTGGGAAGCATCTACCTGCCTCACGCCTGACTAGCTGCCTTCCTGGCACCTTGCTTATGGGTGCTCCTTTAGGACAACTCCCTATACTTGGGCAGCTCTTCTCTAGGGCTGGCTGGGCCCTGCCCCAGAGGTCCAGGTGAACCTCTGGGAGAAAAATAAACCATGAAAAATCAAGCAAGAGTTGCATGTCAAAGTGTACCATGTCCACATTCATATACCCAGAACTGATGTGTAAAAAAATGGGGCTCAAAGACTATGCATTAAAGCCAGGAAGGCCTCCTGGAGGAGGCAAAGTGGGAACTGACTTGGAAAGGAGAAGAGAGGCTCAGACTAGAAGAAGGTATGGGGAAGGCACTCCAGGTAGAGGAAGCACCAGGCATGAGAGAATGGGAGGACTAGGAGGATACCCAGGGGACAAGGAGGACATCAGGTTGAAGAGGCTCAGGCCATAAAAAAGAGGAAAAGGTCCAGGCGGGGGGTTCCCCAGAGGGTTGTGGGCCATGTCCTGGGAGGCCAGATGATGGGCAGCAGCAGAAATTAGAGGCAAGTACTGCCCAGTGGCCTCTAGGACTTCTACTCAAGATCTTCCCTCGTGCTCAGCAAGCACTCAGATGCAAGTTTGCAAAGGCTTTGGAAGTTGCCTTACCCCCGTCTCCATTCTGACTAAAATCGCTGACAGTGATTCTGCCAAGGGATCAGCCTGTGTTTCACTCAACAGCTTCAGGGACAGGGGCTCACTACCCAACAGACAGACAAGCACCTAACACTGATGGGACAGGCAGCTTCCTGGTAACGCTCCTCTAACAGCAACAACAATAATGAAATCCTAGCAGTAGTAATAGTAGTACTAATATGGAATGCACGTAGTAGCTTGCAAAGGCTTCCATACTCGCATCTCATACTTTGTCCTCACCTCCCACCCCGACACTCTGAATCACTGGACTTGCTTCTTCCCTCTGGTCAGATGGGAGACACCTGCTGCTTGGTTACCACGCCCCCCTTCCCTCCCTTCTGGCAGCGACCCGCCAGCCAGGCCAGCACTGCCTGTGCAGGGAATCCCTGCACAGTGGGACAG